AATTTCTTTTTGCTACCAGGTTTCAACGTGTGATGTTTTTGATATGTTATTGGCGACATGTGAGAAGTTTTTAGATACATGTCAAACAAGATTTAAATTGATCCTCCAAACCAAACTAGACCATACAAGAGTTGTAAAATCTAGTTTAAATTATCAAGTTCTAAGTGATAATATACTTTTTTACTATTACGTGTTCGTAGTCTCATCGACATCATTATTAAACATGCCTTTTAAAGTAACAACTCACAAGTTAAAATCTTTATAAAGTAATTTGGCTAAATAGTCGTATTGGTTGTGTACATGTTCGAGTTATTCGATTCACTCAATTAGTTATAAAAAGTATTAATCACAATTCACAACCATCAACTGATGTGAATTGTGATTTCTATTTCAACCCAAAAACAAATAGTCCATTTAATTTAGTAGGTCAACTAGTGTTTTACCCGGGCGTTGCCCCGGGTGGATTTAGAGAATGTTTGAATACTTTGTAAGATATATATTTTTACAACATATAAATAATTTATCATTTTACTTTAAATTGGTGTTTGTTCGTTGTGGATAAGAAATTTATTAAAAGGAATATTCGTTGTGGATAAGAAATTTATTAAAAGGAATATACAAATTAATTTGTCATGAGAACCTTTAAACGGGATGATTATTTACACAATAATTAAATAATATATTTACACTTCCTCCATCCCACTAAAGTTGTCTCATCCTTAGCTTCCTTTTTCGGTCTGTCTCACTAAGACTGTCTCATACTAAATTTGGTAAAGATTGGTGATTTTAAATCATTCTTACTTTATTCTTATTTTATCAATTTAATATAATATCAACCACTTAAACTAACTCACTTTTCTTAATAATCGCATCACCCTTCTTGTCACATTGTTAAGTAGAACGGAGGTAGTATAGTGAGATTAGTAGTGATAACTGTGATGTTATAAATGTGTTATTTTTAATATTTAATGAGTAAATTATCATTTAAGAGTGTCAATTGTTTCCTAAAATATAAATGAGAACCTTTATATGAGACATCCCAAAAAGAAAACTTAGAACATGTCTATGGGAAGGAAGAAGTACTAAATAGTGACATTGTAATGTAAAACACCACAAACACCAAATATCACATTGGTAGGTTTTGGAAAACATCCTTATAAACCAAATTCACCACCTTGGTGAAAAAATTTATTTCTTTTGAATATATAAATATAATAAGACGCCTTTCTTCATTACTTTTTGTATTGCAATGTAAAATTGGCTATTATTGAAACTTATTTCTCAAGGTATAAATCAAATTTTATGAAGAATTTATTTCACAATCGAAACATATTGCTTGAAAAAATTCCAAAAAATGAATTAAGAAATAACACAATTTATATTTATTTTGTGTATTGCCAATGCATGCACATTCAATAGAAAGTAGCAATTCTAAAATATTATGGAGAATCTCACTATTTGTATGTACTCACAATTAACTTATTATATTACTCAGTATATATTTGTTAAATACTACTCCGTATTTCAATGCTTATTTAACTCAATAATCTATATCTGAAATATATACGGAGAATTCAAAAAACGGGAATGAATTCAATTTATTTATTTTTCTTATCCTAAATACATGCACATTTAGTGTAATATACTATTCCCATAGTTTTATGCAGAATATAAAAATATAGGTAAATATGGTTTACATTTATTTAGGAGCATCACACAATATGTATGTAGTCAGAATTTACTTATTACATCATACTTTATCAGTATTATTTCAATTTTTAATTTGAAAATCATAATTTATCTTTTTAAATTATTCTCCTATTTTAAGCTATATTAAAAAAACCAACCTGGAACGATCGAGTCGACCCGAAACCCGGCGACCCAAACAAAAGCCCGGTTTGCTTAGTTCTTTTTTTTTAAGAACTCAGTTCGCTTAGTTTAAAACTCAGAATTGGTTAAAACCTGGAAATAATATAGTATTGATATATAAATGGATTCGAATATGAAATATATAAAACATTTCAAAAATATGTGTATATTCTTATAATAGAATATACAAAGCATTTCAAAATACCAAATGAAAATTTTCTAATTATATGTGGTTTTCTAGAACCATCTCGATAAAGCTTTCAAAAACATGAAATGAAATTCAATGCTCCGTATTACAACATATTTCAAATATATGTATTCTCTCTAAATGGAACGACACTTAGAGAATTTCAAAATTGATCCTCTACAATATATATGTGTGTGTGTAAATACTATATATGAATTTAGAACTTAATTGCAATTAATAACTGCGAAGTATTCAGTAATATAATTGCATTCATGATGTTTTTTATTTGAACTATAATTTGCTACTCTGGTTTGATCTGTTTAAATCTGGTGCGGTCCGATATAGTCTGAACTAGTCTGGTTTCATCTGGTAAACATCCGGCCTCTATGTATTTTATAATTACGAAAGCTAAGTCTGGTCTGGTTTGTTTATGCCTGGTTTGGTCTGGTCTGATCTGCGTTGGTCTATTTAAGTCTAGTCTGATTTGGGACTGAAAAAAATTCAGGTAAAAACATCCTCAATAGCAACTAATTTATAAATCATTTCAATTAATAGGTTTTACTTTATTATTAAATAATAAGTAGGTGTATGCATGGTCCGTGTATTATTTAGTTGTATTTGAAGTAAATTGCTCAATATTTAATTGCTTTCCTTTCTTATGTAGGTGCTTTAATTATCTCATTAATTTAATAGGTAAAAAATGCAAAATACATGGAATGAAAACACGTGAATTGAGAATCTATAAGATGTACTCAATAGTAATAATAAACTTTTGCAATTACACCCTCATAATCAATTGTACTCAATAGCAATATTAAATTGTACTTAATAGCAAATAGTTGACAAATCGATTTCAATTTGAAGGTTCTACTTTATTAGTAAAGAAGTATAGATATCCAGATCTCCCCTTTTATTATATTCAATATGCTAAAGAGTCAAATGTGATCTTGCATCATTAAAGACTTTTCAATTCACCTCCCCAACCATAAAGTGTCACGTCATTACATGCTTTCTTTATCTTTTGCCCTTACCCCATTATGATCATGAGTGTAAGCGAGGGGCCCAACTTTGGTATGGACACACTTAAATATCGATTAAAACATTTATTTTCATATGCACATTTTCTTATGTGTTGATTTATGTAAAGAGTCACAAATGCTACTTTTTGTTCATGAAAAAAGTTCACAACGTCTGTGATTTTTAATACTTCATGGTCTAAAATTCAAGCTGGCATTTATCATTCGGAATGACCCGTTCAAGGGCGGCACCTCACTCACTCTTCTTGGTAATATTCAGAGATATATAAAATATATAAATAGTCAACTTTTTTTTATTCATAGTTGCAAATGAAAAACATAAATATGAAAAAACTTTTGACGTCGTTAAGGGAATATGTCTTTTAGTTAAAACTTGGGTGTGTAAAGAAAATGATCAAATGTTTAGATAAAGTGAATATTGGATAGCGGAGACAAGCAATATTGCAATCATTTTTTAGTTACCACAATGTTGACAATTTTTGACGTTGTAGAGTAAAGGAGTGTTTGGGTTTGCTTAAAAAAAGCGCTTTTCAGCTTTTGGCTTAAAAAAAGTTGAAAAGAGTGTTTTCAAATGACAGCTTCTGCTTAAATTAATCATTTAAAAGCTAAAAGCTGGAAGCAGGTAGAAAGGTGCTTTAAACTGCTTCTCACTTTTTCTATTACACAAAAAGTACTTATTTTACCAAACACTACCAACTTTTACTTTTTCAGAATCACTTTTTTCTCAAACACTACCAACTTTTACTATTAATCACTTTTCCCAAAATCACTTTAAAAAATCACTTTTTTAAAGTTGAAGCAATTGCAAACACTCCCTAAGTTAAGTCATTCAAATGTGTACATTATTTATATCTAAGTAAAACAATTGATATGAAACATGATAAATGTACTAATAATTTTTTTTGCTCTGACGATGGTTATAATTAAAACTTCTAATACTTGATTTTGTGAATTGAACAACTTAAGAAAGTATATGAACCTAAATGATCATTTAATGCATGAAATTTATACCGCATTGCTAGAAGGTAAAAGTAAGGTTCCTAGCAGAAGATTCAAATTGTCCCATCCAAATAAATTTGACACACACATACACACACATATGCATGCATGGATGTGTGTGTATGTTGTATGCCTATGTATGTTTGTGTATGTGTATATAATCTGGTTCAAATAAAAAATGTGCTTCCCGTGAGAATATGAATAAATTTGGTGACAATAAGTTATGTAAATTTGCTTCCCGTGAGAATCAAATTTGTAATCCAATGACTCTAATTATGTAAAAAACTGCAATAAGTTAGATACAAAACACAACAATTTTTTCTTAAACAAATCATAATTCTATTCGCTCAAGTGCACTTCCTAAATGCACTGTTGTACACTTGCACTATTTTAATATCACAAGTGCAGAAGAAGAAAATATCACTCCATATTTCACAATTTCATGAGAATATCACTTTTTGCAATTATATTTTTATAATGTAGAGGTAAGAATGTGGTTACAAACTCTAGTGTCTGAAATCAATACAAAAATTGTAAGTGAAATTCTAATTCGTGAAATTTGTTGCGGCATCATATTATCTATTTTTACGATATTTAACAAACTTTTTTATTAAAAGAGGAGAGTAAATAAATGAACATAATTAGAGAGGTCACCAAAATCCTAATCTTGTTTAAATTAATAATCTAGTCAGAGCAGTCAGCAGATAGTGCATTTTTATGTGCACTAAAGGCGGTAATAATATGATACATTTGTTAGTTTTTTATGTTATACATGAACTAACTTCTTCTTCATCCAATTGACAAGGGTGTTTTTATACACATACAACACCAAACAACCATCAAACAAACATACATATTTTACAAACAAGATTAAACAACAAAATAATGTACTTGTTGTACAATGATACCTCTTAATTTGGTTTGAAGTCACACGTAGATTCTGATTTTTTATAAATAACTCTCCATTTATATGTGTGGAGAAGGAGAATTAAGAAATTGTACCTTTATGAAAAGAGAATTAGAGACAACATCAAGCTAGCCAGTGAAATATGGAGAAAAAGAGTCCAACGAGAGCAGTAGAACTTAGGTCATGGATTTGTATTGGGGTTGAAATTTATGGTGTAATATTAATTCAATTTACTCGGGTTGCCTTTAATACACACATTACGTATACAACAATAAAAAGTTTGTTTGTCCCTCAACTGTATACAAAACGCCTTTTGTGTGTTGTTTTTATAATTGCAAAAATTTTGGATTATTTAATTCATAGGTTGCTTATGAGTCATGATGCATTCATTTAGAACTTTTAATAAGTTCTAACATTTCTTAAGCATTGAGCCAGGAGTTACTCGATTCACATTTGCAAATTAACAACAACAACTAAAATTAAAAAAATTGATGGAAAAATATGTGAGCACCATGAAACGTAACATAGAATATATATATATATATATATATATATATATATATAATAATAATTTTGCCAGTTTATCCTTTTATAAAGGAGCTACACATGTAACCCTCCTCTCATGGTTAAGAAAATGTTACACTAACTCACGACATAAAAAACTGCAATATAACAGCCATATGTTTAAAAAGTAACCATGCTAGAATCTCAGAAGTAACTAAAATTGACTCCAAGTAAAACTTAATAAATTATATTTATCATTAATAAATGTGATAACTACCTGGATCAGGAATTTAATCAAACTTCAAACGGCTAAATATAGAGTATTATTTATTTGATTATTTCTTCACTTAAAACAATTAAACATTTATCATCCAAGTTCAAGGGTGTTGGCCTTAACATAAAACATCTATTACAATATAATAGCAAATTGATTTTGCTACAGTGTTCCCGCCCATTTCACTGCAGTCCATCCTGAAATCCGCATGTAGAGATGCACTGGATTAAAATATCATTGAATTTCATGGAGAATTGGATTTCGTGTGTGTTTTATTTACATGAGATGCCTTCATTTAATGCGTTTGTTACACATTTTCCAGATGAATGCCAACCGTTCGCCTAACCACTAATGCTTTGAATTTTAATTTTTAAATTTACTGTTTGCAGCAATTCCAAATGCAAATACTGTCTATACAAATACCGACTCAAGTTTCAAGCTCTTCCCACATCGAGAAACTCTTAATTTGCCGGTCTTGGGAACATACTAGATTTAATTTTTTGCAGGCTGAATGTATTTCGATTTGTATATATATAGTGCTTCGGAGAGTCATCGATCAATTTGCATTTCAATTCATCTGACCCTATAATTCCTACTCTTTCCTTTGCTTCATTCAAATTGTGGTTCATAGAGGATTTCCATCAAAGAAAATCATCTTGGGCTGTTAAAGTTGGTGCAGTGAGTGTATTTTAGTAGTAACTTCCTCCTACCATGGAGTATATTTCATGATGATGCTGAGGTGATTGAAAATAAACTACTGAAAATACTGATCAAGGATGATGGAATGGGATGCTAATTCATTGTGTACTCCGTACAAACTATGGCACACCAAAAAACTGAAGCAAAAATCAATGAGATTTATTCAAAGAAGTAAACAAAAAATGCTGCCAAGAGCTACTAAGAACACCTTCCTCCATGACTTCTCTCTCCCCATTACAACCAATCTGGAGTTTTTTTGGGAGAACTAATTACTCCATATTTTTTTAATAAAAACAAAATGGGTGAAGAAGCCTGTATCACCAGTTTTTCCTCGAGCCCCACACACCTTATCACTGATAGAAACAACCACGATTTATGCTTTGTAATTAAAGAGAAAATACAATCCATACAAATGGACTATGTTGGAAACAAGATATATACAATATGTTTTAGATAAATACAATATATATTTGCCCTGTACACACACACACATATTTGTTCATAAAAAGGAAATTATTTTACTGTTAAATATATCAACTGTAAAACTAAAATCTAAATATAATTTCAATTGTTAGTATTTCTACAAATAAAATTCTAATCATATTTAAAATACTCAAAAATAGTTGAATAATTAAATATTCTCATCGATAGGAAAATTATTTAGTTTGATAGAGACATATATAAGTGAAAGCAACACATAGGCATATCTTTTATAGATATAGTCAAGAATAACATAATTTACAGAACCTGTTTCAACTTTAAAAAACAGAAAATTAAATTAGTAGTAGTCATATAAATGTAATTTTGGTATTAAAATTACTATCTAATACAATCACTAATAAGTAGGGAAATATTCTACTGATACACACATACCAGAAAACAATAATCGATGCAAAGTTATATTACAGGTATTTTTGATGATTTTACTGAAAAAATATCAAAAATAGTATCTGTATAACAAATACTCCGTATTATTATAGGTAGGAAAATCGAGTGATACCTAATTTTCGAGCCTCATATGCAATCCACAGCCAAATCTTCGAATAAGCTAGAGAACACAACACAGGTTTCTAGTATAGTAGAAAGAAGAAAATCACCTTTACGATATGATAATATTTCATTGTTTTTATTATTTTTCTTGAGAATTTCACAAAACCAATCAAGGTTCATACATTTACAGTTGATTGAAGAATCAGATAATATGCATTGTACTCCGCAAGCAGTCTGTGTCACCCGTTTGCAGAGACCGGTGGTGGATCTACTGGCTTAGCCGATGGGGCGTTGGGTTACGATGCGGCGCCGGTAGGCTGTACTTTGGTCAGTAGCTTAGTCGATGGGACACTAGGTCATGGTGCCGTGCTTTGGTCGGTGCTTTAGAAAGTCTACAAAGGAGAAAGGAAATGAACCGTCTGGATGCCGCACAAACCCTAAAAATATGGCCTATATAGATTTAATTTTTCATTGTGGGCCTGTGTATTTTATATAGATTGGGCTTCCGTAATAAATGTCTTATAGAGTCTGTTTTGCATACAGTTGCTTATTGTTAGGAAAAAATAAGTTTAAATTATACTCAAAGGTCAACCCTAAACCAATATTCACATATGCTTTAGTATTTTTGATAATTGATTGCTTATGTACTCAAAAATATAAATCATTATATTTTTCCCTAAAATCATAGTAACAAATTAATGAAAAATAATTTCTACTCCCTCCATCCCGAAATGATTCGTTAAATTAACTTCTTAGTAAATGAAAATCAAATTTCACCAATTATATTTTTTAATCCAAAATATATTCTTGATCGTTTAATACAAAATATATTGAATACGAAAATTATATCAAATGTTCATTATTTGAAATTTTTCATAAAACTATAAAATTACCAAATTTTATACAAATATAATAATTAATATCATTGATTTATTACTTCATAGTAAATCAGTTATTGTGATATATCTGATTTTATTACAAGAAAAATGATGTATATTCCCTTCATCCCTAAAACATTCGTCAAATTGAATTTTTTTAGGAAATGACAATAAAATTGACAAATTACATTTTTAATTCAAAATGTTTTGAATATAAAGTTATATCAAAAGGTTCATTATTTGAAATTTTTTCATAAAACCATAAAATTACTAATTTTTATGCATATATAATAATTAAAACCATTTATTTACTGTTTCATAGCAAATCACATTTGGAAAGTTGTTTCTAATTTAAACAATTTAACTCAAACTGTGAGATAAAGAAGAAGTCGAATCCAAATAATGGTTGATGAATGTGTTAAACCAACAGGTTGACAAAAGTATTTTGTTGTTTACTGAATCAAATTCGCTAAAATTGACAAAAAAAATACCCCTGCTAAACATTGGAATAAGTTATTTTTGTTTAGCAAAGTATTGTTTACACGATACTATATAAACTTTGAGGAGAATTAGCAATTGAATAGATTTATCTTTGTCAATCTCATAATTTGTCCTCATGGATAATTCTATTTAATTGGTAATTTTGTATAGACTCTCACAAGCCATGTTATAGAGAAGTAAAACTTTTGGTATTCATTAGATCAAGATACATGGTCTTAAAACACAGAGTGAATATATTATAAATATAATTGATACAATAATTGAATAACAAATAATTTAAAGAAAAATTAAGACGTAAGGAGTACCTATCTTTTTTCTATTATCATCGAAATCAATATGCTTAAGCACATCAATGGTGTTTACTGATTTCACAGCAAATACACCGCTATTTTGTAAAACTAACTCAACGAATATACAAGTGTATGCATTCCCCTAGGGGAGGGAGCAGGAGATAAAGGCATATGTGTACACCGAAGAATTCGGGTATGAAAGGTGATGGGAAGGATGTGAGCTTCAAGAGGAATGGATCGGCGGGTGGTGATGTTGAGGTGAGGATGGCTGTCTGTGGAGTGCTTTGAAGAGACAAGTGATATGATGAAACCAATGTTGTGTCGGCTTATCTTGAATCCTAAGAAAAATCAGTACATATACGGTAGGTGGGTTGATAGATGGGCGTATATATTGGGTTGGTTTTAGATTAGTCTGAAATAACCAATTTAACTTAATTTTATGAGACTAGAATAAATAAATATTGTAGATAAATATAGGATTCCGTTGAAATCACTAGAAATCTTCTTCTATCAATTTTAGGAGATCTAATTGCAATTGTTGTTGAGAGTGTTTATCCACAATATCTAAATGTGATTGAATATTACTGTTGAGAGTGTTTCAACTACTTTTTAGAAAGGGCTATTTTAGGACCAACATGATTTCGCTTAATAGATTCCAAATGTAGAACTTATTTTAGTTCATGCACTCTATGCAAGTCAGATTTTAATGATGATTTACTTGCATATTTGCATATTTCCAATATTTTTTAATAAGATTTGTCTTTCAGGTTTAGCCAATCATGAGCCTACACTGAAAGTCAGTACCTCTATGATACTTATGTGAAACATAAACCATTCAATGTGATTATGTAATGGTACTCGATTCATAATTGGAAGGTTGGGTAACCATGTTTTAGAAGCCAATCTTATCATTGGCAGGAGCATGGGTGAATGCATTCTCATTTCAAGGTTATCACTAACGCTTTCAGATGCAAAAATTCATTTCAAATTTCAGATGAGTCAATTTCCAATAATGGTCATTTATGTAATACTACTAACAAAAATGAAGGTCAGTCTCTCCCATGTAGGATTGTTGTTAAAAAGTCAGATTTCTCTCATGTATGATCAACTCTACATTGCGGTTACAAGAGTTACCAATAGCGAAGGGGTG